TCTCAAAAAATACCAAAAAAAAAAAAAAAAAAGTATAGATCAGAATACATAGGTGGGGGATTTTCTGTTATTAGACAGAAAATCTAGATGATTAGAACAAGGTGCAAAGCCTCAAAGTGGGCCTGACTAGCAATAAATCCTCTTCAGCTGCTTGATACACAGAAACCTTTTAAAAACAAAGGTTCTCAATAAACTCTCTTATTTACATGGTCTCAAACTGGTGTTAACTTGCTCCAATGCCTAATACAGCCATAACAAGTCTTGAAAACTTGTCCACAAGGGGCTGCAGGTATAGCTCAGTGGTGGAGCACCTGCAGGGCAAGCATGAGGTCATGAGTTTGATTCCTGTACCCAAAACAAAACAGAACAAAAACATGTCCTCATATTCCCTTTTCAGAAATTTACAAGGGAACAACCAGATTAAACAGATTTTATGCTATGGTATATGTGAATGAATATTCATTTTTGCATCTTACCTGGTACTGCACAAACACTTGGAATGTATATTGTATTTCTGTATGGTGTTTTGATTCTAAGTAACTTTTTGTATTGTGGAATTGATTTCACTGAACACAAACTGTCAATAAAAAGAAATGCATAACTGAAACAGAAATCTACAGGTATTTATATGTCAATGACAAAACAAAGCACAAGTTGAAACAACTGTAGAGAAGTATTGCAAGTCTTAAAAGGTTTTGAAGTAATGACTTAAAGAAAAGGGACAAAGGAGTTGAAGGAAAATGTAAAATGAAATTTATAAAGCTCAACAACAATAACAAATAACAACAAAAAGGAATCATGAGAAAACATGGCAACAAGTGTCAAAAATTCATAAACTCCAGAAAGCTGCTCTTAGAAGCTGAAGGGAATAAATTCCAGAAAATAATTCTCCAAATGGATTGTTAAAATCATTGAAGACTCTACTTTCAATCTAAAGACAGCACGAGGGATAGAGCTCTGCAGCAGAAGCACCTGCAAGTGCAAGGTCCTCATTCAACTCCCAATACCAAAAAAAAAAAAAAAAAAAAAAAAAAAAAAAAAAATCTTCAATCACATAGTATTATGTTTCCACTGAGTCAATTTTCTTTTTTGCCCAATCTATATCATTACGGGTTGCATACTAAATTTTTTTCCATGAAACTACTGATTACAACTCAACTGACTGCATAGTTTCCTTAGTTTTTAGGTGCAGAAACACTTACTCATGAAAACTATTACCTTGTTGACTGCAAGTCTACCTTCCACCTTTAGTCGTGTCTCCAGGGCATCTCATATTCAAGGATGCTTCCCAATCCTGATGCATGCATACCCTTTTACTCTGAGTAGAAGGACAGTATTCCATATACTGATGTGAGTGTCCACATGTTGTTGAGGCTATTTTGTTTTCCCCCCCTGAGGACATTGGGCAGTGCCAAGGTGTCGACAGCTTGCGTTGACAACTCTGTGGTAGGGTTTCTCTAGATATCTAGTTTGTACAGACCACCAATGCTTCTTTTTTTCTGGTACTGGGAATCAAACTCAGGACCTTGCATTTGCCAGACATGCACTTGTGCTATTGAGCTATATCCTCGGCCCCTCAGACCACCAATGCTGTTACACAACTTACAATCACAGGGGACTCACCAAACAATTTTTATGGACTCAATTGTAACTAATGCTGATTCTCAGATGCTGATATAAAGTAATAAACCTAGCACCTATTCATATTGCTAAGTGAATTTACTATATTTATATCACTCTCAATAAAATTTGAACACCACAGCAAATCTGATTTTCCAAGGACTGGTCTCTACACCTTGCACATGTCAGTTGACTTGGGGACAGTGAATGATCTGAGGATGGATCAACAGAGGAATAAGCTGTGCATAGAAGACTTGAGAGATAGCCCAGGTCTGCCCAGATTGGATCCCAGAGGTTAGCTATGTCTGTGTCCATCCCGAGTCCCGGAGGACAAAGCTAGGTGAGGCCCAGACTGTGACTCTTACCTGCTATAAAATAGTTCCAAGCACTGAGATCGTAAGGATTTGGGGCAGTGGTAAAATGTTGTTTGAGTGACGCCCTAGGTGTCAAATCATTGTGACAGCATCTCTAGATGTCCATGTATATAAGCAATTCATCAATTTTGTTTTGAACCAGAATCCTCAGCCCTAGTCACTTTTTTTGTAGTTGCAAAATTATGAACAAAATTAAATACTGTAGATTAAGTCTGGTCAATGATCATTTGTACAGCTATCTATCTATCTATCTCCAATTCATCATACTTTTATTTACTTACCTATCAGCTATCTATGTATTCATCTATGTATCATCTATGTAAATATGTATCACTTATGAATTATATAACTATTTACATCTATATTCCAGTTTTGGTCCATGTATTTGTCTATCATCTACACTGCTATTATCTACAATCAAATCTTTATCTCTCTATAATACACATGTTAAATATTTCTCCACCGATCATCTACCTAACACTGATGTATGTACTATGTACATATCTCACATGCTTTAATGATGTAAGATTAACAAAAAATAGCAGATATTTAATTTATACAACTTGATGCATTTGGATATGAGCAAACATACAGTTATCAAATCATTATAAATGTCAAAGTCAATCATGTATATATTACCCCCATAAAACCCTATTGCACATTTTTTTCTATTGTGACATGAAAATTTAAATTGTATTCCTTTTAAAAGTTTATGTGTTTTATGCAAGATTGTGACTTATATGCTTGTGTTTCACAGATCTCCAAAACTTACCCTTCTTGCACAACTGAAACTTTGTCCCTGTTATCAACACCCTGCTAATTCCTCTTTCCAACAAATCCATGACAACCACCATTCTACTCTGCTTCTCTGAGCTTCAATTTTCTGGTGCTTAGAATGATTTTTTGGAAAAGCACAGAGCAGAGATAATTTTATTTCTGTTGTTTTAGCAACGGGAGTGTGATGGATCACAGGATGACCTCTAGAGCCAGTCTGTGCCTCGTGTAACAACAGCAATGTGACCATAAAAAGTTCTCACAGGATGGTGGAATAAATTCATCAAAGAGGGACCCAAGAGAGGAAGCAAGAGCTATCCATGGACCAACACTGAGCATGAAAGATCCAGAGCCATTGTGGATGATGAAATTTAAGCTGTGGCAAGTGATTGTATATAGACAGAGCTTGGAGAACAGTGATCTGGACTCAGGATGGAAAGTCCTCCAGGATAACCTTCAAAGCCAGAAGTTAGACTATGTGATCTCTTAACAGAGCCTCACACACCACTTGAGACGAACAGAATAGATACCTCATGGGCCACAGAATAAGCAAGGGCCTCCTGACTTCAGTATCTTCCCACATATAAAGATTCTATATGCAAATTTTTTATTCAAGCCCTATATTCAAATTCTCCTCTCTGGCTGTGGGAGTTCACAGCTCTCTCCTGAGACAGAGCCTTGATCTCTGTGGAAGGCAGGGTAGAAATCTAGAAGATGAGGTTTTTGGGTCTTCTTCTGTGTCTGGTGGCAGTTCTCCAAGGTGAGTGTTCTCAGCGTCACAGATGGGTCTAATGGGAGATTGTCACTTCAGGTGATGAAAGAGATGAATTTCACTTGTCCGCAGGTGTTCTGTCCCAGGTTCAGCTGAAGGAGTCAGGACCTGGGCTGATAACACCCTCACAGACGCTGTCCCTCACCTGCTCAGTCTCTGGATTCTCCATCACAGACAGTGGTTACTGCTGGCACTGGATCCGTCAACACTCAGGGAAGGGACTGGTATGGATTGGGGGGATATGTTCTGGAGGAAGCACTAATTACAGTCCTACATTCAAGAGCCGCATTTCCATCACCAGAGACACGTCCAAGAATGAGTTCTCCCTTCACCTGGGCTCTGTGACCACAGAGGACACGGCCCTGTATTACTGTGCAAGACACAGTCAGGGGAGCTCAATGTGAGACCAGACAAAAACCTCCCTACCACAGCTCTCTTGACCAGCAGGGGGTGCGCAACACACACTGTTGTAGGGAACAAATCGCAGCAGTTCTGAAGAAAAGCCTTCAGGCTTTTCTCTCCAGGTGACTAGCATCTCCATGAGTACCCTCAGGCACAGCTATTTTTGAAGTTTCATGTCTCTGATCACACCATACTGTGTTTTCTTAGAATTTGGCTTCTATGTTTCTTCCACATTAAACTCATTATCAGTGGCACGATAATTTTTTTAAGTGAAACCATCGGTTACACCTCTGTTGACTACACAGCCTCCTTAGCTTTTAGGTCTAAGAAACATTTAACCTTGGAAAGCATTTTCTGATTGGCTGCAAGTCTGCCCTAAACCCACAGATTCATCTACAGGATGATTTATATAAATTAAATACCTACAGTTATGAATCTCATCCTAAAGGGCACTTCCCTATTTTGGTTCATGAAAAACCCTTTGCTCTGAAGGGTTGGACATCATTATATATGCTGATCTGAGTGTACACATATTATTGGAGATATTTAGTTACCTACCCTTGAGGATGTTTGGCAATGCCTTGGACAGGTTGGGTTCATTCAACTGTGGGGTGGCTTAAGCGACCCTCGATGCTTTCACACATCTTATAATTACAGGGAGCTGTGCAACTAACAATTTATCTGGACCTGATCTCCATAGTGTTGAGACTCAGGAACTCCAACATAACATCTTAGAACTAGTGAGTATTTGTACTGCAAAGTGAATTTGCCATATTCACATTAACCTTAAAGAAATTTGGAAACCATACTAAAGCTCATCTTCCGTGTGCTTAGGGGCACTGGCATCCACTTCTTGCTCATCTGTCAGTTGATATGGGAAGAGTGACCTAAGCATGGATCCATGAAAGCACAGAATGTGTGTAGCAGACTTGAGAACAAAGGTCTGCACAGATTGGAACTCAAAGGTCAGTTCTGTCTGTGCCCACATGAATCCCTGAGGACAGTACTGGTCATGCCTAGACTCTCCCACTTAGTATGAAGTGATTCAGAGCCTTTGGCTCATAGGGACCTGAGGCCATGGTAAAATACTACTGGAATGATTCCCTAAGATACAAATCATTCAAGAAACAATGGTTACTATCAAGAAATCAACCAATAACATGTGTGGAGTGGCTGAGCTGCAGCTGAGCTGAAAGCTGGCAAAATCCTTGGAACTAGAGCAAGGCCAGTCCAGCAGGTGTCCAACCTTGGTGTTCCTCCCTGTTAACCACAACTCAGATAGCTCTAAGAATGTTTCACTTTCAGTGTGTTCTCAGCAAAACACTGAGACCTTGCACTTTTGACTGTGTTGCACACTTCCTCCCTTTTAACACAGACTGAACTAGGTTGTCACTGCCTCTCCATCAGAGAGGTCAGGCCCCACCCAGTCTCAACTTTCCTTTTAGTATGTGTCTAGTTTTTGTTACTCTCCAATTGCCTCCTGTGGACACCGTGGGCTGTGTGGTTTGCGGCAATAATGAATGCTAGTGGGGCTGTGGGGGAAAAAAGGTTTCTTTCTCCACTGTTATTGGGAATGAAGACTACTGCAACCACTGTGTAAATCAATGTGGTGATTCCTCAAATAGCTAGGACCACAAGTCCAATTTTACCCAGCTATTCCCCTTCTTGGTACCTTCCTAAGACTTAAAAGCATCATTCGACCGTGATATATGTACATCCATTTTTATAGCTGCATAGTTTGTAATAGCTAAATCTTTTAAACAACCCAAATGCCTATCAACCAATGAATGCATGAAAATGATGTGGTTTTTTAATACAACGGAGGGTACCCAGCCATAAAGAACGATAAACTTGAGACATTTATAGGTAAATGGATGAACCTTGAGACCATACTCTTAAGTGAAATACATTGAACACACATTTGTAAATATCACATTGTCTCTCTGGTATGAGAAACTGAAACCCTAAATAATAGAAATGTATAATAGACATTGCAAAATAGGAATTGTTCAAAAGTGGAGGGAAACTGGGCCAGAGGAAGGAAGGGAAAAAGAAAAAAAGGATTAAATTGAAACAAAGCATTGTAAATAAGGAAAAGGGGTTGAAAGGAGAGGGAGATGGAAAAAAGACACTAAGATATATCATATACAGGTATAAATTCCTTATGATGAATGTGATCATTATGTTTATCTAAATTGTATCATTAAACTTAGTGATAATAATAAAAAAAAATCAAAAAGCTCCTTACCTACCTTCTCAAGTCCAGTCACTTCACAAACAAACTGAGGGCAAAGATTCTTCTAAACCACATTCGTAGTGACAGTGAAAACCACATGCTAAGGAAAGTTAATGTTTTTTACAGCCTTGTAGGTGGTATAATCCTTCCAAAATCATTGCAATGTTTATCTTGTTTCATCAGCTGCATTCATTGCCCAATGAAAAGTGTGTCATAAATATTTTATGAAAGTCAAAATAAATCCTTGGTCCATAGGTTGGACTAGCATGGTCGTATTGGGTGGTAGATGCATTGCTTTGACATCGGGATGAAAGTTATCCATGAATTGGGGGTGACCTGGAGCAGTTTCATGCAGCAAAGGATTGTTGAATGGAATATCTTTCACCAAACAACATTTCTCTGTCTCTGGGACAAAGTCATGGAAAACCCAGTCCAGGAAAATGGCTTGTGTAACTCAGGCTTTGGAGTTACTCTTCGACTCAACATGTAGAAAGCCTTTGGCTATATTTTTGAGGACTCTTGGGTTCTCTGAATGGTAAACTAGGAGAGGCTTTAGGTTCATATCAAAAGTGCAACCTTTATCTAAAACCAGGTAAGTTGTGCTATGGTTTGTGTCTGGATGTCCCCCCAAAGCCTCATACAGTCATGGGGTGGACTTCTAGAGTTTATTGATTCATGGTGCAATGTTGGGATGATGGGTGTGAGTGCTACACCCACCCTGGGGCAGGTAGTTTGCATATAATGTAAGGGAGGGAAAGAGGCTTGCTCTCTGCTGCCACTCCTCCCTTTTGCACTTGTTGCTTTTGCTGTTTTCCACCACCATGAACTGTTGCCCTCTACCATGTGCCACTCACTCTGCCTTGGAGCCAGCTGACTGTAGACTTCTACAACTGTAAGCTAAATAAACCTTTCCTTCCTTAATTCTGGGTGTCAGGTATTTCATCCCAGCAATGAAGAGAAAAGTAACAGAGATAGGTGTTTGCAAGATAAGGCAATTGGAATCCTACTACAACTATGCCTGCACATTTTTAAATCCAGAATGAACATCACCAAGTTAAAGATTAGATGGTATTAGAAAATTGTTTTGAATTGGGGCATCTGACTATGTCACAGCATATTTTCCTATAGTGTGAAAGGCCCAAAATTCAAACCACAGTACCCAAAACAACTACAATTGTGTAGTATTTGTTTATTTCATCAAAGACAAGGATGGGTTCATCATGAGGAACTTACCAGGGAGCTCAGCATGAAAAGCAACAAAATAAAGCCTCATCTAAATATTTAGATCTTGGTATCAATATATTTTCTCATATTTCATTTCTGTTGATTGTTTTCTGAATAGCTTATGAACACAAATAAAATAGGACTTTATAACTTGATAGAAGATATACATGTAATTAACATATGAAACTAAAATGGGAATTTGTAGAAAAAGTCTTTTAGGATGAATAATAAAATACAGACACACTGTCTCCACTGCTTTTTATTTCTTCATTTATAGTGTTATATAAGAAGGAAGGTAGGAATAAAGACAGAAAGAAAGAAAATGACAAAAAAAAAGGCGATAAAGATTGGAATGGAGGAGAAATAATGTTTTGAAGTGGTAAAAGAATCAGAACATTAGAGTTTTAAACAATGACAGGATTGTTCAAACAACGAAAGAAAATAAAAAATAATTTTAAAAACATTAGAAACTAGTATCACAACCATTGTTAATTTCCTATCATCTCGTTTTCAAAGTCTGTATCTTTTTATTGTTTGGTGTTGTTTTGCTTTTGTCTTTGTTGTTGTTTTATTTTTTTCTCTTTAAAAGAAAAAAGAAAAAACTGTGACAGGGACACCTTTGTTGCCGAAGACAAGATAAACTGATAAAAACTGTCATTTTGTCCTAGCTTTAATAATTTGGAATCTATAACAATTAAATAAAGCTAAAGTATTCAAAATCACAATACAAATTATAAGGAAATAACTCTGGGAGCGCGCGGTGGCAAGCAAGAAGGAAGGGAGGGAAGAAGGCCGGCAAGCGGGGGCGGGGAGCGAAGCAGGCGAGGCCGACGAGAACCCGCCGCTCTGCGCTGGTGCTGCGCGTTTTGGGAGGGGCGGCCGCTCGGTCGGCTAAGGAGAAGCCGGGACAGGGTGCCGGCGACACTGGTGCTGTTGCCTAGGGGCGGGGGGCCGGAGAGGCGATAAAGGGGGTTGCGCTCTCCTCGCCACTCTCCGGGCTCGGTGGATCCTCCCCGCCCCCGCGGTATGTCTTGATTCCAAGCGGGGGGTTTCACGGGGCTCCTTGGGGTTCTGATGTGGCCTTCGCGGTGGCGATGCTCTTGCTGCTGAACAAGGTCCAGAAGCACTAGGAGTCCCTGTCGAAGCTAGAAAGGGCTTTTGCAAGACCTGAAGTTCAGCCGGGGGCGATGGCGCACACCTGTTATCCCAGCACTCGGGAGGCTGAGGCAGGAGAATCGCTGCGAGTCCGGGACCAGCCTGGGCTACAAAGTGAACTCAAGACCAGCCTGAACTGCATAGCAAGACCCTGTCTCAAAAACACACACACACAAAAAAAAAGACCTGAAGTTCCAGAAAGGGAGCAGCGACATACACTGGATGGACCTCAGCAAACTGCAGCTTTAGATGAGGACGAATTCATGGTGATTATTTATAACAGAGTTCCTAATACTGCAAGCACCTCATTTACAAATGTCGCCTATGACCTGTGTGCAGAGAATGAATACCATGTACTTCCCATCAGCACTACCAAAAAGAATCCAG